GAGAGAGAGAGTGTGTGTTTGGTTTTAAATGACCAGGTATAAACAGGTTCTAGAGAATAAAAAAAGCACAACTCTGACCAACCAAGATAAAGTACCACAAGTCGCCTGTTGGTTTTCTGCTCCGAACTGAAGCTTCTCTCGCTGTAGATGTTTTCCTCTGGATGTTTTTAAAGAAGCTTTCGTGCTCGCGATAAGAATGACAAAAAGTGTAACAGATAAATGTTTACAGATGTATGAATATATCAAATTGAGAATGTTGTTCAAACTTCTTCCACCTAAAACTTCAAAGTGCAATATATTTTTGTATTTGTGATTTTTTTGCACTAGTTTTTCATATACGCTGTTGCTGTTTATTCCATTTCTGTGCATTATATATTATTGTCATGATCTTACTGCTGTCATGATCAACTTTTGATAAAATAAAACGTTTATTTTATAAAATACTTAACCGCTTGCACTGTTTTTTTTTCTATATAATTAAAGTTTTTGACATTTTAGTAGTTAAAGACCCCCTCCAAACATGTATTAAAGCTATAATATGTACACATTTCTGCATTGAAATGTGTATAAACTCTAATCTATGTTCTGTATGTAGTTTGAGTTGAGTACCTTTTTATTCCAGTCTGAAGCCACAGTTTTTACCAATCCACTGTTTACGATCTTGGTGCTTTTTAACTCTAGATTTTTGAACCGGATGAAGGAATTTTAGTCATCGAACGTCTGGATCTTAAGTTATTCAGGAGACAAGCTGAGCTAACGTTAGCAGCAGCTCGGCTCGCAGCCCCTCCGGGACGTCCTTTGTCTGTCCAACAGCGTGGGAGAAGCAGTGATTTTTAAGGTGGAACTGCTTTATTCAGTGTTTTTAGCGGTTTTAATCAGCGGGTCCGTTTGTTTTGGAGAGGAGGAGACCTCTGTGGATAATTGGGCTCAAGAGAATCTGCTTCCAATGACGGCAATGTGTTGAAGACAACAACTCCCATGATTCCACACTGCTTCACCACAAGTGGATGATCACTTCTCACACCTAGCGTTAACCCATGTCTGTAGTTCATGCCGTAGCTGCCAGTGGTTCCACATAGGACCCTGATTGCTCTGAACCACTGTGGTTTGGACACAAGCACCTAGCTTGAAGCCTGGAGAAGAATTCTCACGTAATTTCAAGATTACGAGTCCAGCTGCCTCGCAACATTAGATGATCTCTAAACTGACTGACGAATAAAAGACAGAAGAACATTGTGGTTTTGGTTAAAATGACTGCTTTGTTAAAGTCATCATGATTACAATAAAAACACTTGCATGTTCATAGATCGGAGCCAGCATGTCCCAGTGGAACTTATGGCTATTCCAAGGTTAATGTTCAAGCTGATTAGATCCACCCCTAGTAATTGAAACCAAATTTCATTAAAATTGGTTCAGAATTAAGCGAGTTACAGTAGATTTTGTAGTGCAGTCTGAATCTCTCAGTATTGTTAACTAGCAGATCTTGACCTCCGAAATATGGCGACCGTGCAGACGTAAAGCTGTGGCCAATGAGGAATCCATGTTTCTATATCTATGCTTGAATGTACCGGATGTTGTTTCTGGACACGTTTGATGCTGTCGTTCTTTTTCGGAGGACATTCTCAAAATGACACTAATTTAAATGCAATGTCATCCCATTTTATGACTCAAAAAGCAACAATAAAATAAAAACTGTTTCCTTGACTCACACAGATATAAGTAGATATAGGATACAGGATATATTTAGTACATTATTAAATGAGCTTTTTAAAATAACCACAGATCCTACAAGTTATTCATAGCAGTATAGGTTAGAGACTCAGACTAGAAAATGAAGGAAAAAGAAACTGCATGTCATAAGAACACAGGAAGAAGAAGTAGTCAGTGAGCAAGTGAAGAAGGGGCAGAGATCGTTTTCCCACCCAAACTCAGTGGCAGCCTGGGAGCAAGCGCACTGCTAATTGGACGCCAAATTTGTGTTGGTGTTTAAAACAGTACGTTCCCATTGATTCCCACAGTGTTCACCACCTGATCAACTTCACTTCATGTTAATGTTTTGTTCATAGTATTATTTTTCATTTTTTATGTTTATTTGTATGGTTTAGGTCTTTATGGCGCTTGTTATTTATATGACGCTGGAAGACAGAGCAGGGAAAGGGGCCAGGAGCTGTAGGGGGATGACACGCTAGCAAAGGGCAAGGCAGTCGGATTCGAGGGACCTTGTGTTTTTTTTTGCAATCAAGGACCCGTCGCCCACTGAGCTAACCGGGCACTCCTCCCACACTCATTTTAATGTTTTGATCCCAGGTGCAAAATTTACACACTGCCACTCTTTTTTTAAGAGATTTAAGTCAGTTTGGAGCCTTTAAACTTAAGTTTTTATTGCGGAACTTTAACTGTCTCACTGTTTTCATGTCAAAGAAGTGCTGGCTGGTGAATAAAATGCGTCTATTGTGTTTGTGGGGGATTGTTGGATTGGAGGCCTTCATTCAGAAAGGACTTTTACTTTTTTGGTTATAAGTTTTTTTGGACCACAAAATTGAAGCCGTGTAGTTAGTTACCTTATTACTTCTTGCTGTACTTGAAACTTGTTATAGGGCTGCACATAACCGTCTCTGCTATGGAATAAGCAAGCAGGACAGGAGTATTTCATCTCTTGCCACGACTCTCGTGCACAGGTTTGGAAAAGTCCTCCGCCACATTTCACACAAACCGCTGGGTATGACAAATGGGGATTTCTTACTTACGCATTGGAAGTTTTTTATTATTCACGTTTTTATTTAAGGGATCGTCTTTTGTTTTAGCTCTGAAGTTGTTACTCGTTGACTCATAATTAGCACAGTGTGCCCCCTCCCCCCCCCCCCCCCTCCCCCCCCCCCCCCCTCCCCGCCCCCCCGCCCCCCCCCCCCCCCCCCCCTACTCGCTCTTCACATACCGGGAGAACATAAAAACCCTTTCCGACACACGGCACCGAGTGAATTGGGAATTGCGTCACGTGAGGCAATAAGTGTTTTTGCTTCTTCTATACAGGCGCCCGGTTGCTTGGATTATAACAGAAACTGGTTTGAGACTGGATGAACACAGGGGCTTACAAGGGACAGAAGATGTGAAATGTGCACAGACAGACAGACAGACACGGATCAGGACCAGGACTTCTTTGGGTGTGATGGGAGTCTGACCCTCCGGAGACAAAGGCCAACATTAAAGGGCTTGAAGCTCACGGGTTTTTTTTGGAGGCACTTCAACAGTTTTCTTTTATTTCTGGGCTTTGTCCTACTCGACCACATCCCTAAAGGTGAGGGGGTAAGTTCCATTTGGCTTTTTAATAGTCACATTTTGTCTTGGTTTGTTTTCTATAGAAAAACACGCTTAGATCTTATCTTTTTACAATACTTATTAGTTGGATAGTTCTTGATCTTTTATTCTTGCAGTTATTTTAGTTGTTGGGAGTTAATTCCAAAAGTTAACTAAATTTCGCAAGTTACTTTAATGGATACTTTGGATTTAGGGGTTTTGCTGGATCTTTTTTAACAGTAATTACAGGTAATTGTAGTTCGGATTTACTTTTTTTAAGTACTGTGTGGGCAAAAGAATATGAAGAGAATGCCAGATCTACGAATAAAGTTTTTCTTAACTTTGTTTTAAAGAGTGTCGATATTTTGAGTTGTTTTAGTTTATGATTGGTAGTGTTGTAGTTATGTGTGATACTGTTTGATTTAATCACCGCATTCAGTTAATTCAATATGTTGTTATTTTTCTTAATGGCCGGTCCTAACTTGAAAAGAGTTTGTTTTGGTGTGGATTTGAGTGCTGCCGGACACAGGCCTCATGGTTTATCACCAACTCATCAGAAGTATTCGGTGTCCCGGCTCCAGGAGTTTTCTGTGCATGATATGATTATAAAAATCCTGGTTGCCTAGTAATTTTTTAGTGCTGGGATTTTGTTTTGTCTTACATAATACCAGACACCAACCGGTTTTGTTTGTCTGTGTCAGCGCTTGTTAACTTGCCTCTTTGTTTATTCTCAGGGCGTTCTCAGAGTTTTACATTTTTAGGGGAAAATAGCTTCAATGATTTAAAGTTTGATACAAAAGGCTCCACCTCAACCTCGCTGTGTGCACATACATTAAAGCTGGACGATACTACATAATGGGACGTCAATAATGGTTATTAATATACTTAAATGTTAAGAGATTTTGATCCATGAGTACTACTTACTATTTTTTTAAAGTTATATGTTTTTTGCATGGCGCAGGGAACCTGCTTTGTGACTTTTATTTCGTACACTGTATTTATTTGTACCTTTAAAGGCTGTCGGTGCGGATCTCCTCAATTGATGCACTGCAGGCTCCTCCTTTTTTCCTCCTCTTCTCTGTTTTTTCTGCACTTCATTTCATTGTCCATTAATGTCAATGTTTACTAACTTCGTCTTTTTCCCCGGAGTTTTCTTTTGGCTTTATCGGTCCTGTCAGGTTCTCATGGATTCCTGGTGGAGCCTCCTGCCATGTTTCCTGGGTGACTGCCTATTGTTTAATATCTCACCTGATATTATTATTGATTTGATTAGTTAATTTATTAGTTAATGATTATTATATACGAGTTACTATTGTTGCTCTGGTTTCCTCTGCGCTCATTTGTCCCCCACGTTGCTGGTTGTCGTCTTCATCATCTTCTTCATGTTCATCATCAGTCATATTCTATTGGTGTGGTAGTTGGTTGCTGCATCTTCTCCCTGCTGGTCTCCCCCTCTCTCTTCTCCCTCTCTCGCTCATCCCCTCCCCCAATGGGGTCGGGTTACAGGTAATGACCATATGCTCTCACTTTAGAGGCCGGGAAGGGTCTGTCCCTTTTAGGGTTTTCTGGCTCCTGTTAAAAGGCTGTTTTTTCCTTTGATTCCGATCGCAGGAAATGGAGCCCCGCATCGCCAAGTGCTTGCTCTTGATGTGCTTTTGTGTACTTGTTGGGGTCTGTAGAATGTTAAAAAGGAGAGTTCGCTTTTGGTCTTAGACCGCTTGCTCTATTTGAAAAGTGTTCCCTGAGATTAACTTCTGTTATGATTTTGGGCGCTATTTACAAATTATAAAATTTGAATTTGAAGTTGATATTATTTC